GGGTGCACGGACGTCTGTCAGCGTGCGTGTGTGTGTGCGTGTGCAGGCGCACGTAGCTGTGTGCGTGTGTCGACGGCTGCACGGCTGTGATGTGGTCTGAGCACCACAGGTGTGCGGGCGGGCGCCTGTGCGTGGCAGGTCACGTGTGTGCACGTGCGTGTGTGCATGCACACGTCAGTGAGCGCGAGCACACCTCAGTGCACGTGCCTGTGAAGGTCTCCGAGTGTGCAGGGGTGTGCGTGTGTCTCAGTGTCTAGCCTTGTGCATGTGTCTCATTAGCCGTCTGGGTGTCTGTCCCGCTGTGCATCCACCCGGGGTGCGGGTCCGTCCTTGTGTCGGTGTAGCTGTCTCCGAGGGTGTGTGACTGTCCCTGTTTGCGTGTGTCTGGCTGTCCCAGCGCTTGTGCGTCTGCCCTTGCGAGTCCCGCTGTCGATGCCTCAGCGTGCATCTGTGGGTCCCTGTGTCCCCACGTCTGTCTGTCTCTGTGTGTCAGTCTGTCTGTTGTGATGTGTCTCATCTGTCCATGCGCTTATGTGTCCGTCTGCCCGCATCTGTGTGTCTGTCCGTGTGTCGGTGTGTCTGCCCCTGTGTTTGTCTCGCTGTGTCTCTCTATGTGTGAGTCCAGGTGTATCTGTTTGTCTCTCCTGGTGTCTGTCCTGGTGTCGTTCTGGTGTGTGTGTCCGTGTGTGTGTCCGTCTGTCTGTCCTGATGTGTTTCTCCGCCTGTGAGCACACCTATGTCTCTGTGCGTGCCTGTGTCCGTCTATCTGTTCCGGTGTCTGTCCATGTGTCTGCCCCTGTGTCCATGTACCTGTCCCTGGGTCCTGGTGTCTCTCTGTGGGTGTGCCCATGTGTCCCTGTGTCTGTTCGGGAGTCTATCTGCATGCCTGTCCCAGTGTCTGTCCTGGTGTGTGTCTGTGTGTCTGTCCATATTTCTGTCTGTGTGTCTGTCTCAGGGTGCACCCCTGTGTCCATCCCAAGGTCTGTCCCGGTGTCTGTCCTGCAACGTGTCCCACTGTCTGCTCGTGTGTCTGCACAGGTGAGTGTCCATGTTTCTGTCTGTGTGTCTGTCCCAGGACCCATCCCGGAGTCTGTCCTACAATGTGTCCTGGTGTCTATCCCAGTGTCTGTCCCAGTGCGTGTCTGCATGTCTGTCCCGGTATGTGTTCATGTGTCCGTCCCAGTGCATGTCTGTGTGTCCATCCTGGTGTGTGTCCATGTGTCCGTCCCAGTGCATGTCTGCATGTCTGTCCCAGTGTCAGTCCCAGTGCGTGTCCACACGTCTGTCCCGGTGTGTGTCCGTGCGTCTGTCCCAGTGCCTGTCTGCATGTCCGTCCCAGTGTCTGTCCCAGTATGCATCCCAGTGCGTGTCTGCGTGTCCGTCCCAGTGCCCGTCCCAGTGTGTGTCCACGGGTCTGTCCCGGTGTGTGTCCGTGTGTCTGTCCCAGTGCCTGTCTGCACGTCCGTCCCAGTGCCCGTCCCAGTGTGTGTCCACGGGTCTGTCCCGGTGTGTGTCCGTGTGTCTGTCCCAGTGCCTGTCTGCACGTCCGTCCCAGTGCCCGTCCCAGTGTGTGTCCACGGGTCTGTCCCGGTGTGTGTCCGTGTGTCTGTCCCAGTGCGTGTCTGCATGTCCGTCCCAGTGCACGCCCACGTGTCTGTCCTGCTGTGTGTCCGCGTGTCCGTGCCGCTGTCCGGGCAGGCGTGTGCCCGGGTGTCCGCCCCGCCGGGTCCCG